TGATGTACTTAAGGAAAACTTTACTTTAAGGAAAACAACGATGATTGTATTTGTGCTTTTACAACACGATTGTTTTATTGATTCTTTATTAACTCGTAAATGTACATATAGTTGTTGTTATCAGTTTTCGAAAGAAAATAGTAGTTTTCCTACTTGGACGTTTTTTTCTACCTTTGGACAGTGAATCCAACCGGAGAAAACACAAGCAGCCCTAGTGCTTTCCCAGACAACATGCGTCACCAAATGCGATACCACAATTTTCCACGATATAATGTAAAAATTTTAATAGTACTATCGATCCGACAATTCCTGTACAAGCTTTATTGATATCATGCAACCAAAAACTTCTTGCAAAAATTTCCTTGTCATTTTTCTACTTAATTAGTTGAAAATGACATCAGCTTGAAGAATAGTAAATAAGTTGGGTAATACTGAATAGAACCGACGTAAGCTATACAGTATAAGACATACTTTTTATTCAAATTTTTCTCCACGTAACAAAGCAGTGTTGATGTTGCCTATGTATAAACGAAACATCAAAAGTTTATTGTAACATTCTCATTTCTCTAGTATTAACTTGTTGTGAAATCTGCACAACAGTGATTATAAAAATACTTTTGTTGAGAAATCTTAAGTATAAGTGAAGACCAATCTAACTCTGTTGACAAAAAAAAAAAAAAAAAAGAAAAACTCGAGGAATGCTTATGAAATATTCATCCTTACGTTGATATACAATACTTTATGATTACTTAATTTCACTCCACTCTTTCGACCACGTATACAATATACATTTTACATCCAAACATTTATTACTACACTAGAGTCAGCAAAAAAAGTAACAAACAAAGTTGTAGCGCTCCATTGAAAAACGTCCATTAGTCTGAGTACAAAAAAAAAAAAAACCACGAGCAGAGTAGCAAACTATAGTTATATATGCCCCCCGTTGTGGTAAAAAGGTACACAGCAAGAGCAGACGTTTGCCAAAAAAAAAAAAAGCGCTGGCTGGTGGCAGAGCTTGCGGTCACAGCGTGTTATCTTGCCCAGCGCCTCATCCACTCCGTATGCATGGAACTTGCTTTCCTCTCTCGTTTTTTTTTTTTTTCCACGCTCCTGCATTCATTCGAGCCCGGCTCGGACGGGCTCACGCAGGCGACTCGTTCTTAATTGTTTCGCCAGACGTCGCGACCTCATCTGAAAACAAACAAACGGAAAAAACGAAATTATTAATCACGCGATTTTGACTGTCGGGACTGGGTGACGTGTTATTTTTGCTTCCACTGAACGTTTCATGAGTACGGCGCGCCTGAATTATCGATATTTTTCTAAAATTACGAAAATACGCCGATAACGTCCTTTGACGGACAGCCACTTTTACCTCTTGCATTTATTTTAAATTAACTGTAATCGGGAGTATTTTTGAAGGAGAAAAATTCATTGTAAGCAGAGTGTATCGTCATGTACTTAAGAGTAAATAACTAACCTACGAGATACTCTCTTCTTTTGTTGAAAAAAAAAAANAGAGGAGTTAGTACTCGCTGCGAGAGAAAAGTGGGGGATAGAGAGAGAGAGAGAGAGAGGGAGATAACGAGAGATGGAAGTGGACAAAACTGTTGGCAAACGAGTTTTTCCTGCTGCCCTGGTAAGCATGCGCGTGACAACCCTTTGATTTAAATAAGTTGGCCTGCAGCGGCTACTTGGTCTTATTTTGCTGGGGACTTCATCATCATTTTTTCCTACTTTGTGAGTAAGGCTTTTATAGCTACAGTAATATTACAATTAGAATTACATTTTTAAATAACATTGAGTTGAGGGATACTGTGGGTTAAAACTTAAAACTAATCCTTAATCCTAAGTTGGTTTCATGGATTAAATTTCAGTGAAGACCATCGGAAAAAAATCTGAGCCACCGGGAATCAAACCCACGACCCCTTAAGCTGTGTTGTCTCAATGACTAGTACGCTAGCCAATTGTAAATTTTTACTTCGTTCAACTTCCAATAATACTCAAACTTGAAACCATTGACTCAAAGAGTCTCGTTGATGAGCGTTTACAGTGAGGTTTTTAAAGCGTTGCCCATTTCCATTTGAAAATTTTCGAAACAACAAAAATTCCCTCTTCCCGTCGATAACCGCATTGCGAGCTTTTCAGAGGGGCAAAGCTCCCCCTCCGGTGCTCCGCGCCGGCAATTAATTGAACGAGACTCCGAAGAGTCGAAGCACAGTCGCGAGACTTAAAATCAGCCTCCCTCCCTCGCTCACTCGTCAAGAAATCCACTTTTATCCATCCCCCCGTGCCGGTAGCGTCAGTCAGAGCTCAGGGTCCTTTGCTGGAGCACGATAAATTTAATTTCAACTGAAACCCCTCCTTTTATCCCATTTTCTTCTTTTTCCCTCCCTGCTTTGCGTGATTTATAGTGTTAAAAAATGAAACGTACCCTCCCACTCAGGGTCCCAGCTTCAAACACTGCACAGCGAATGGCTGATAAATCGCTCACAGCTTTTCATTGTTGGGAGATGAAGGAAACAAAACAGAATCAAGTACTTGTATATTTTTATGTGGTAGTTACCCTTGGGATATTATACTCATCCCCTGTTGTTTTCTGCTCTAAATGCTTGTATTTCGGTGCCGCGATACTACCGGTCTGCCTCCCCTGAGTCCATTCTTACCATCCTCGCGAGTTTTAATTGCGGTTACCTCTAGTCTCCCAACGGTTAACCGATGCGCTCAATATGATTATACTTTCTCTATATGCGTGTACTTTATTCGCCTTAACGTTGTCTTGGAATTTCATTCCTTGCCATCTTTTGTTTTATTTCAGTCGTTTGAATGGGCAGTCAAATCATTTAATTTTCATCGTCGTAATCACACCTGTTACGTGGGAAAAAGATAGATAGGAGGTGCGTCGCGAGAATGACCAACAATTGATTGTATCAAGAGCTTTATTCAAATCACCGAAATTAAAGGCAAAGTAGCGCGTGTGTTTCCCTCGAAGGCTCGTCGTGAGCCCTTAATTCCCAAATGCGCGAATGCCCGACTGCTCGACTCCTTGACTCTCGACTCTTGACTCCCTGACTGGTTGACTGCCCGAGTGCCGTCCGAGTACCGCGATTTGAGGGGGCCTTACATTAGCTTGTTTCCCACCTGCCGATGCCTTCTTGATAAAGAAGCCCCGCTGTTACTAGGGAGAGTCAGTATGATATGCCTTGTATATCGTACGTTACATGCCGTTATTTCTATAGGACCATAATTTATTTTGATACTAACATTGCTTAGAATAAAACTAACGTCAAGCTGCCATAAAAAAATCTATAAATATATTTTTTCAAATGTTATTGTATTATCTCGTTTAATTATCATGTTTGTTTACCATTTCGTGAAATTTCTATTTTTGTACTTTAGATCCTTTAGTTTTAGTTAAAAAAATTTTACTTTATCGGTTTAGTTGTTCATTACCATCCTAGCACAGTAATTTTTATTTATTTTTTTTCTCTCAGTGAACTAAGAGCCCGTAACGCTAAAAAATGTCATGTAACTTTCCGAAGCGTTGGGTTATCGACTCAGAAGGTGGCGGTTTAAAATTTAGCTGTTTTTTAAATGATATAAGTGCAGTGGTGAAGTTTAATTTTCATTTTGTGCGTTACAATCTCAATTTTTCGACGCAATGATAAGATCCCGTAACGCTCCTTTTCGTGCAAAGAGTCCGTAACGCTATTCCGTTACGCTTCGTATCTTTGCTTATTGTTGGATTATCGACTCAGATAGTGGCTTGTACAGATATTAATGATAAGTGCAAAGTATAAATGTGGTATAATTAAAGTCAAATTTTCATGGACAGCACAGTTGTTTCAATTATAATAAGATTTTTTTAATAAAGTAAGAAAGTCGTCGTAAAAATTTTTCTTGGGCAAATACAAAAACTTTTAGCTCATTTTGGTCACACATTTTGGCAATACAAAAAAATGTGTTAACAATTAAAAACCCATTTTAAGTGTTTGTCAAATTTTAACCCTTAAAATATACCGGTTTTCTGAACGAATTTTGATTTCGGAATGGATTTTGTAAGAAATTCAATAAAAATTTAAGCAAAATAGTGGGTGGGTGAGTTGATTATAGAAAGAATTATCTATAAGTATTTTTGAAAGTCTAAAATGCCTTAGCTATTTTTGTGCATGTTTGTAAAAGTTTTCAAAAAAATCGACACATTAGATTTTACGTAGAAGCCGTCACAGGACGTTTAACTACACGATCAATGAAAACTTGGTAAACTTTACTATAAGTCAATGTGTGGGTCTTTTTTTATGTATAGTATACTCTGCTGCTGTATGTGTACTGTTAATCAAGGTTTAATTGACCATCGGGGTCCCTTTGTGCTCTTCAGCTCATCCACAACGAATTTCATGGTAATGACATAATTTTCAATATTTTGCCCCGGATGAGAAACTTTGAATTATAAAGTCAAAGGCATATAATTAAATTGAATCCCCGAATCGCTTCGAACATCAGCGGAGGATTGAAGCTCTAATCGAATTTTGGAGGCAGAAGCTGCGAGCTCGATTTTAATCAGAAGTTCGGACGAGGGAGAAGTGCCCACAGCGGGCTCCGATGCATACACCCGACGACTAGGACCCGCTCAGGCTCACGACACTCTTCCACTAAAGGACTACCTGCTGCGATATTACCACGCCACGATACATTATCTTGTCCACGAAGCTATGTATGTGCATCTGTGTATGCGTAGCACGTGTACAACTGTCCAGCCAAGTGAGAATAGTTTGAAAGCGCTGTACGGAGGGTGTGGGTAGGGTTGTTAGGTACGAAGGGCTGCGACGGACAACCGGGCGGAAACTGCGCTACAGAGGAGTTAGTACTCGCTGCGAGAGAAAAGTGGGGGATAGAGAGAGAGAGAGAGAGAGGGAGATAACGAGAGATGGAAGTGGACAAAACTGTTGGCAAACGAGTTTTTCCTGCTGCCCTGGTAAGCATGCGCGTGACAACCCTTTGATTTAAATAAGTTGGCCTGCAGCGGCTACTTGGTCTTATTTTGCTGGGGACTTCATCATCATTTTTTCATTTTTTTTTTTAATCCATGTCTACATTAAAGCTTTTTTTTCATTTTATTTTGTTGGAAGTACTTTTGATGTACTTATTCTTTGGTCTACTATTTGCTTTATCAAGCAATCGCGTGATAATGACAAAGTTTTATGATGAAATGGGCTTTTAATATTTTCCGAGTCAACTATTTCTGATTACGTAACACATCATTTATAAACAAATTAGTACCGATAGAAATAAATTTTTTTTTGTTAATTATTGGAAACTTATTCATTATAAGTTGTATTGCACTACTTAGTAAACCATTTAAATAATTACTACATACTAACATTCAGATCATAACATTTTTTAATCGATAATATTATAAAAGACACCGAATCCTGCAACAACTAAAAAAATTATGTCAACATCTATTACGTCTCATCCCGTCGTTTTCATGTTTTTTTAGGAAAATTGTTTAACATAACAGACAAAATACTGTAGCGGTTCTAGTTACATGAGTAAGAACTCATTTTTCATTGTTTTTTGGACTGACTTTTTAACAATTTAATTCAATTTAGTAAGTGTAAATTATTAGTGTGTTGATTTTGTTAATCGATGTTTTACACTTACTTGAGTCAAACTGATCCCAAACCTTTTTATAAGATATTCCCACAAAAAATCTGATAATTAGCAACATTTTAGTTTATTACTAAAATTTTATTCTGTGAAAATTTGAAAGAAGTACTTCGTAATATGTAACATCTTAATTTTTGACTATATAACACTGTACTCTGCATACTGTGTGTAATATATAAAAAGTGTTATCAAGTGGAAAAAAACACGATAGTTGGTGGAAATACGTAGAAAATCATCTAAAGTTACAATGATAATGTTATCAAACACAAATCTTACAGCAATAAAATTTACAATAATGAAATTAAATAACAAATCTTTGTAATAACTTAAATTAAAACTTGTTAAGAAATCCATTTAAATTCAGTTCTACCATACATATGATATACATTATCAGCTATAAGTAGACCTAATGGACTTTCCAGTCGAAATGACAAAGCGCCTTTCCATACTTAATCAAAACTAATTAGGTAAAAGTCTCCCGTCTCTCGCCATCTCTCAATCGCAAGGAAATTATCTTAAGC